AAATTGCTCAGTGGTCTCAGCACAGAAAAAAGCTCTTCAGTGTTAAAAAGTCCTGTCTTAACCCATCAGGCCAGATTCTTGAAGAAAATCAACGAATACCTATGGAGAAAACAAGGATATGGTGCAGACAGCAGCTCCAAGTGAGACAGGAGCAAAAGAAACCTTTCTACTGGCTGGAGAGCTAAATAACCCCAGGCTGGGACGTGGGGAATGCAACACTGCCAGGGCTGGATCCTGATCAAGGGCCAGGTTGGGCATGGGGGCTGTGGAGAAGCCCCCAGGAGGAGCCCCAGCCATGGGGAGCAGGCAGGGCAGGCTCTGGAGTGGCACGGGGGGCTGTGACAGTGTGACAGTGTCCCCAAGGCTGGGGGGATGTCTGACATCACCCTGCTCTGCTCCACAATGCCAGGTGGGCCAGAAGGGATGTCCTGGCTGCTGTCCTGCCCAGCAGCGAGGTCTGGTCCCCACGTGGGTCAGCAGTGAGAGGGCTGGTGGCACCAGGAGCGGCTGACTGGTGAGAAGTCACCATGGAGGGCAGAAATTAGGTGCTGCCAGAACAGATACACCCAGCATCTCTCAGCTTAAAACATTTTGAGGTGTTTGAAGCATGGCAATTCTCTCCCTCTTGCTTTAAGGGATTTTTTTTCACTGATGAGAGGGTTCTGCCTCCCCAGGAGAGCATTCCTTGGGCTCGGCACCCCACGGTGCCTTGGCACCTCTGCGTGCTCCTGAACTGACTCATCCTTTAAGCACACCTCGTTACATCACCAGGGCCAGGAATAAAAACCCCCACCTCACACATGCACACGTTCCCCAGCACCACCCCCACCTTCGCAGGAGGAGATCCCTCCTTCCCTCCACACAGGATTTAGCCTCCACCACCAAATTCCTCTGCAGTTTTCCAGTTGCTCAGTTTACACTGCCTGGGCTCCTCGCCAGCCAGGCATCGTCCACGCTGCTCCCTGCCTGCTTCCCAACATCCCAGATTCCCCACCAGCCCAGGCAGGCAACCTAGCCTCCTCTAATCACCTGCTTTGCCAAAAATCCGGTTCTGCCTCTAATTAGAATGACACCAAACGGCTTCAAGATTTCCCTGAAGGATGCTTTAAAGCTGGTTTCAAATATGATTCCCCAATTACCACACGAGAATTTCAGCATTGTTACAGTGGTTGCTATTTTTAGCTCTCTGAAAACAGACAGCAAAATGCTGGTGACATCAGCACTTGACAAGTGTCGACTTGTTTCACTACCAAATGGATGCTGCACGGTCTGGGCAAGGAAATAAAAATACCAGACCAATATATAGCCTGAATGTGTGATAATGTAAAGCTTATTGAATATTGGGGCAGGGCTCCAGATAGTGTCTGGAGGTCCAGAGAAGGCCTTGGCAATTCTGTTACTCAAACATCAATGGTGGTTGTAAAGCATCTTGTAAGAGTGAGAGAAATATTGACCTTAGTGAAACATCAACATGCGCTGGCATGGTTTTTCTTAAATGAAAAAATGTCTCCCTAATTTTTTGTTCAAAATTTGATGGAACCGATGCAATTTCTGACCAAAAAATAAATTTTAAAAAGCCATTAGGTGGAAAAATATATGAAATTTAGCCAGTGCTATCCAGATTTTCCTCACTGTTTTATCCACCTCCCTCCACCACCCAGCAGCTTTGCCTTTGTGGGTAGCACCTTCAAGCCTCCCATTCTGTTGCAGGATTTCCACATCATTTTAGCACTCCCCTGTTTCACACCCTGGGTGAGCATCCCTCCTGTGCTCCACAGGCACTTCTCACTCCAGCGAGGTGTTCAGGGGCCAGGTAACACCTCCTGCACCCTCCCATCCCACGGTGCCTGCAGAGCTGGGACTGCCCTCTGGGCTGGCTCTGTTTGGCCTTCTGGGGTTTGTGCCATCTGGTAACTGCTTGGGGAAGGGGGTAGGAAACACCAGTCCTGCTCCCCAGCATCGCTGCTGCTGTTTATTCATTCCTTTTGTTGGAGACCTGGCAACCAGCTATTAATGTGAGCCCGGTGGGAATTAATTTTGGAGTAAGCTTTTGTATGGAACGCTTCCCTGAGATGGAGCTGGATTGCACTTCCTTCAACCATTAATTTGCTAATTCCACCAAAACCAAGAGGAATGTGCTTTTCTGACACCCAGCTCTCACAATGGATTACAGGGCTTCATTTACTCGTGCAAACAAGTAATCTGGAGCCTGCTCGTGTTCTCACAGTAGTCAGGAACTCCTCATGACTTGGGTGTGCCTTGACTTGGACCCTGGGGTCTGGTGCAGGGACTGAACCTGGTCCTGCTGGTCCCTGGAACACTTGCTGAAGGCAAGGGCCTGCCAGGATGTCATCCTTCCCTGCTCTCTGACATCAGAGCCTGCTGGAAAAAAAATGACTGTTGTGCCACAAATAGCATGATTGAGTCACTTTGCTACAGGATCAGCTCAGAGGAGGGGGAAGCGGCTGGCGAGAAGGGAGAGGAGCAGGAGATGTGGGGTCTCGCTCCAGGGGAGCTGGCAAACAAAGGAAAAGAAACAGGTATGGCCTCCTTTGGCCCTCTGCCATCAGGGCGACTCCATTTCATAAATTCCTCCACAAAATGCAGGACAAGAACAGGCTCCAGAGCACAGGGTGCACCTGCACCTCTCTTCCTGTTGGCAGGGCAAGCCTGGCTGCACATTTACAGAGAGGAGGGGAGCTCAGGTGAATATTCAGGGACTGTTTTCTTCCTTGCTTACACTTGCTGTGTATTTTTGAGGAGGATCACTGTTATTTGCACCTGGAAAAAACTGGACCTAGTACTCCTGTTTTCAGCAAGAATGGAGGTCCAGGAGTCAGTACAGAAAGCAGCCCTAAAGAAATCCTTTTCCTACCACTGTGAGCAAAGCTAGAGGGGCTTCAAGCAATCAGGGCAGCTGGTTTATAACCCCAGTGCTTTCAGCAAGCCATCCTGACCTGCGGTACTGCTGGGGAGCAGCAGCTGCCATTGCTCAGAGCTTCACTTTTGCCATTGTCATTTTCTCCAGGGGCAAGGGAGCAGCTTCCAGGAAAACCAGCCAAAAGTTAAACCAACACAGGCAGCTCTTACTGAGGCCCTGGAAATAGCGGGCAAACAGCTGTCATTTTCTTTCATTTGGCCTGGGTGCAATTTTCCTCTTCTCTCCCATTTGCACAGGTCATTCCAGGGAGCTGGAATGGGAGGAGAAGGGAAGGGACAGTGCATGAGGAGCTGGCACAGTGGCCCAGCTCGAGTGCAAACCCTCCAAGGACATGCCCTGCCTATCCCCCATGCTGCTGGGTTCACACTGCTCGTTCTTCAAGCTAAATAGCAGCTGATAAAAATACACCAGCACTTGTACTTGTGCTGTGCAGGTGTGTGCAGAGATTGCCCACCAGCCTGGGGGAGGCAGCTCTGTGCTCAGGTGGGCTGATCAGCAGCAAAGAGCAGCCTGAGCTCAGCAGCACTCTTTGCCCCCTCCTTCCTGAATTTGTACTCCTACCTGCTTCCAAGTCAAAACATCTGCCTGCCTGCCCTTCTCCTGGTGGGATACAATGAGGAAGTCTGGGGGAGGCAGCTGTGGCACTGCTGCAGTCTCCCTGGTGGGTCAGCAAAGGCAGCTCAGGGCTCTCTGACAGGTTCAGACCAACAACATCACTGCAATGGAGAGATATGGATGTACCTGTCCTGGAAGGGAGAGGCACAGCAGGGACAGGGTCACAGAGCTGGTTTCTTGCACCTTTTGCCATCTCTGGGCCTGGAGCAGAAGGCTTCCATTAATTGAAAGGCAAAACCAGCCCAGACATGACCCCAGGGACCCCAGGGTGTCCCTCAGCACCAGCAGTGCTGCTGCTGCTGTGGCAGAGCACAGGGCACCTCTGGCAGGATGATGTTCTGGGCAGCCTCCTGCTTTGCCATGCCTACACCCAGCCCTACCCTCCCCAAAACAGCCCTGCCACTCAGAGAGGTGTGAAATAATCCTAAAGTCACACTTTGCCACAGAGCACAAGAGCTGTAAACTGTAAATGGGAAGGGTGGGTGTACCCTCTCTGAAGGGGAATGGTCTTTCCTCCCCCTTTCCTTCCCCTTCCCTCCATCTCTGGGACAAAAGCCCAGAGATGCTATCACAAATATTTGTGGAGGCAGGTCAAAAGAGCCAGCTGTGAATTTGGTAATTGAAAAGGAAAAAAAAAAGACAAAAATAAAGAACCCTCACCAAACAAACCCAACAACAACAATAAAAACCCAAACAAATATATATATATATTGAGAATAAAGCAAACAAATACAGGGTTGGAAAAATTGCTTCCTGGATTTTCAGCTACAGCCTCCTGCAGCTGCAAATTTGCAGCTTTTCACCCTCTGCCTCTCCATTCAACTTTATTACCTACCCTGGCCCCTTCACATACCCAGATAACAGAGTAAGACCAACCTTTTCTCCCTGCACTTTGCACATGCACAGCAATTTCAAAGGCCTTGGACTTGCCTATGTCAATTTGTTCCAGACACCACAAAAAAATCTCCTCACTGAGGACCATTCTCCTACCAGATATCAATTTTCAAGCCTCCATCCTCAGAATTGTTCTAGTAAACAGATATTTTCCTTAGCCTTACACAAACCTATCTTGAACACAAGAAATGACTGAAGTGGCTTGACTAAAAGGCTGCAGAAATTTCGTCTTGGATACCACAGTAACAAAGGCTCATCTCCATAGCCCAAACTTGCAGAAAATTATAAGCAACTGAAAATTAGTGTTTCGAATGGAAGTGTTATGCAACATGAATGACAGTGACCTGAAACGCCCAGAGCAGACTATTCCCCTCTCCAACATCCATCTATAGCAGCACAGGAAACGTTAGAAAGAAACAGCAACACAAAACCGAGTAGCACTTGAGCATCTTTTGGGTCCTTGCCTTGCCAGAATATTTTTAGAGACGAGAGAAGTTCAAACGAGGTGTGGTTTTTGACAGGAACCATTAAAGCAAAGCCTTGGACTCACCTGAGGCCGTAGAGGACGGTCCCGTCAGGATGGAGGCGGATCATGCGGTTCTTCACCGTCACCCCGTGCAGAAAGGACTTCTTGTCGTTCAGGAAGTAGGTGTCAGGCAGCCACAGCTGGTCAGCCACCCGGTTGTCCAGGGTCAGGTTGAGAGGAAGGTCGTTGTAGGCCAGGCGTTTGTCCCGCCAGCTCTGCTGGAAGTACATGGTGATGGTGTAATCCTGGTGGAGAAATGGCACACGTCAGCCTGGGGCCACTGCAGCTCCAGCCCCTCACCAACCACTGCCAACACCTCCCCCAGTTCCTTGGCACCCTAATGTGTGGGTCCACACCTCCAACACTTTTTTGTAAGGCGTTTTTTTTGTGGTGTTTTTCTTTTTTTTTTTTTTTGGTTGTTTTTGTTGTTCTTTTTTTTTTTTTTGGTGTTTTGTTTTGGCGGTTTTTTTAGGTTTGTTTTTTGGGATTTTTAAAATTTTTGGTTGGTTGGTCGGTTTTTTCTCTTTCTCTTTTTTTTGGAGGAGTGTGTGCTGTGATTTGTTCTGTGAAAACGGGAGCAAGCCCAAGTTTTACAGGGGACGAAACACCATTACACGTTTTGTCCCCTGTTTCTGCTGTCCTTGCCATTTATGTTTCCAATCAAGAAAAACTGCATCCTACTCCTGCTGTCCCAGCCTGCTGAGAGCCTGTCCGTACCACCAGCAGCAGTTCAGGCTATGGGAGCACCAAAGGGTGCTCGAATTTATGAGGAATAAGTTTTAGCCAACAGTGGCTACCCAGCAAAGAGTTCCAGGGCTGTTCCCCACTTCCCTCACACAAAGGTGACATAAATAAAATCCACCCATGTCCAGGCACTGCTCGTTGGTTGGTAAAAGCCAGTTTAGTTTCAGCAGAAGCTGGGGCTGTTCCAAAGGGCACAGGGAGAGCCTCACCTCGAGGCCAAGGTTTGAAGGTTGGGCCAGGCCAGCCGTGACAAGCCCTGAGCCTTGCCTCCTTATGGGAGCTGAGCTGGGAGTTCGTGGTGGTTCTCAGGAAGGGACATACGGGGAGGAAATCTGTCATCAGTGGAGCATGATCCACTGGTAAAGGGGCAGCTCCCTGAAAAATTTCCCATAAATTTGCACATCAGGAGGAAGTTCTTCGTGGAAAGGGTTGTTAAACATTGGAATGGAGTGCAGTCGCCACTCCTGGAGGTGTCCAAGGAACAATTGGATGTGGAACTCAAGGCCATGGTCTGGCTGACAAAGCAGGGTTCAGTCACAGGTAGAACTCAATCTTAGACATCTTTTCCACCCTAAATAATTCTGTGATTCCCAACCACCCCCAGCTACCACAATGCCATACAAACCTCCTGCTCTCCTCCAGTCCAACAGAGAAAAGCTGACACTTAAAACTGTTGCCAACACAAGAATTTTATAGAAGGGAGCAGGAGCTGTTGGTGGCTGTAGCTGTGCAGAAACCAAACCCATTGCTGGGCACAGCCAGGGCACATCCAGAGGCCTCGGATCAGCCTGTGCAAGGCACAGTGTGGTGCCACACAATAGAACAGCTTCATCTTCTCAGGTAAACAAGCAGTACAGGAAGGAGTCTTGTACACACCAATGACAGGAAACATTCTCAGGAAACATTCTCACAACAGGCCTTAAATAGGTTGGGAGACAAGATTTTTGGGGTAAACCAGATGGCATTAAAATCTATTGATTGATTAGGGCACAAGTTGACAGTGACCTTACAGAAGTCAGAGATTTTTTCCCCAAGTCATTAAATAAAAAGCATTTTTGCAAATGATCTAGAACAGGTGGGATCACATTGTCTCTTCTCAAGCAGTCCCTGCAGTGCCACAGGAATCCCCTTGACCACATGAATTTGCAGCATGAGCTTTTCTGCTCTGCAAATCCCAGCTCTGTGCGAGGAGCTGGTGAGGAGCTTGCTCATGCGCCAACATCTGGGCTGAGCACTGAGGCATCTGCCTGCCTGTCTTCTCCCACAGACTTCATTCAGAGCCAGGTTTGATTAACACCTCTGAAAACAAGCTCAAATAATCCCACATCACGGATAATGCCAGCTTTTGGATATCTAACCATGATTCAGAAATCCAGACCCACATGCACATCCGAAAGGTCACGGTGTAAATCTGCGGAGCACACCAGATACAGAGCTATATCTGCCACTTTCTGTGCTGTCTTGAAAAGAACAAAGACACAGTGACAACTATCTGCCCAAGGAGCTGATTTTCTCTGCTTTTTAAAGGACTGTAAACTCCTGCCTCAGAAGCCTCACAGTCCATCTCTCAGAGGCACAAATATTCTTGTTTTGGTCAGGACCTTTCAAAGGAAGATGTTGTCCCCAGAATCCCTCCCAGGATGCTTGGGGCTGCACTGCAGTGAGAGCACAGAGGAGCAGAGCACCCAAATTCCTGAATCCTCTTACTCCTGTTGGTAACAGATTCATCCCTGCCTGTGGGACACTTGGCTACAGAGGCATCCTTTCCATCCCCCCCTCTTTGAGAACTCCACCCACACATCTTGGCAAGCTCCTTCACTGACCTGCATTTCCCTAATCCCTGACAGAGCCCTGCAACACCTCACCCCTAACCAGGCCACCCTGCTGTCACTGCAGGCTCCTGCCAGCCTTCAAGCAGCAGCAGGCAAGAGGTGGCACTGATGTCCAGGAGACAAAAAGGGCAAGCTGCTCACAAAGTGAACAATGCACCTTCTAAAACACATCCTCTGTGTTCCGAGGACTGATGGAACAAGTTCAGAGGGGTGCTGACAGAAAAGCCTACGCCCTAGCCATCAGCTAGAGGATGTTCTTCAGGTGCAGAAACCTTCCTGGGGAAGCTCTGTTCTCCAGCCTTCCTGGGCTCCTTGGCACAGCAGATTTCTCTGGGCAGCATCGTGGAGGTGAGCACTTCATAACCATGGTTCCTGCAGGGCCTCAGGTTTCCCTCAGCCTCTCTCTCTGCTGATTCCTGTGCTCCACTTCTTGTTCTGCTGCTCTCATCACATTGCTGAGCAGCAGGCAGGATTTCTGGGCAGAAGGAAGAGCAGGGCAGGTGTCCACCCCACAGTGGCCAGCCCTCCCTGCAGGGACAAGGGGCACTGACAGAACCAAGCCATGGGGAAGAGGGACAGGGCAGGCACAGCTGGACCAGGGGCTGTGTACAAATCACAAACAGGATGGGACTGCTAGGAACATGTCTTGAGCTGTTTTATTTTCCAACATCAGTCTCATTGCATGGTTATGACAATGGGAAGGTACCAGCAGCTCACATCCCAGGAAGCAGACCAAGAACTTCATGTTACAACTCACTTTATAAGTTTTTTGACCAATCACACAAAGAGAAAGCCTATTGACAGTAGTTCTATCCAACCACTACAAGCACACGTACCTTCGGTTAAACAATGCTTGCTTATTTTGAATACCACACCTGTTTGTAAACCTTAAAACACAATGCACAGAGCTCCATTATTAAGCTTAGAACTTCCTAATATCTCACTAGATATACCTTTCTGTAGCTTAGGGAGTTATTCTAGACAAGAGTTAATACACAGACTGTTGTTCCATTTGTCCTTACATTTCTACTTTTCACATAATTTTCCTGCTAACTTATTTTATGGCTACTGCTTAACTCTAATCACAGTTCTGCTGTCTCTGAGGCCTGCCTTTCCCAGCCTTCCCAAAACCCTCTGATTTTATGCATTCCCACAGACAGAACCAAGCCATGGGGAAGAGGGACAGGGCAGGCACAGCTGGGGCTGGAGGCAACACTGGCAGGAGAGGAAGCAGTGAGCTTGCCTTCCCCTTCACCCCCCATTTCCTGGCCAGGAGTACCCATGTGCCACCCTAACATCACACCCTGGCCAGGCTCCAGAGCTGCTGGGACCTTAATCACAGCCCTCCTTCCAGAGCACGTGCAGTAATGGCCAAGGGTGACATTGCTCTGCAGAATGGCCAGATGGAGCCAAGGCATGCAGGGGTTCACAGGTTCAGGAATCAGAAGCAATGAGCCTGATTTTCCTCCAAGCCTTGGATGACGTGGCCTTTGTTGTGGGGTTTTATCTGTCACTGGGCTAATATGAGGCTTTCCCAAACCTCCCACTAATCCGTGACACTCACAGGCCTGCTGATGCCACGGATATGACACAAGCTGGGTTTCCCAGAATCACCAGCTGACAGCAGTTGGCCAATTTACCAGATTCAGTGAAGAACTCTGAATTAGACACCCCTGGAGCCCACACACCCCTCCAGCTCTTCCTTCCACTTCACCACTGAGGTGTCTTGTTGGGACAGCAGAGCTGGGTCTCCTGCTGCCTGCCAGGGTAAGTGAGGGGTTTTCCCTCTGCACACACACACAGTAAGCAGAGTTCTCCATGGGGCTGCTGGAGGAGCAAACGAGAGGTGCAGGAAAATCTCACTTTCCCCTTGTCTCTAAAGGAGAGAGATGTAGGAAAATCTGACTTTTCCCTTGTCTCTAAACTGGCAGCCAAGACCCTCTCCACCCTGCACCAGGGCGGCTCCAGCAGCAACAAAAATGCTCCCAAATGATGGATCCCACTGGTCTTTGTGGGGGACCACAGGATGCTCAGGCAGGGCCAGAGTCTGGCCATGGCCAACACAGCTGGGACAAGCATGGCAGAGCTTTGTGGGGAGCTCCCAGCTCACCCTGCCCTGGGATAGAAGGCAGGACCCACTCTGGAAGGGGCACACATGTGCCAGGCCACCCTGTGCAAGCTCCTGCTTCATCTGGTGCCTGCTGGGGAAGGAGGAGTGAGGCTGGCAGCAGGGAGGTGCCACTCCTCACCAGAAACTCCCTGCAGGTTGCACTGCACTTTGGGAAGTGTTCAGCATGACCCTGGAATTGATTTTTTAAAAAACAAAGGCTGGGACAGGACAAAGGGAGCTTTTGAAGGGTAGATATGATCAGAAGTTGCATGCCCCTCCTTGTTCTCCTGTTTTCCATCCCAAGGGAAAGCAAGCTTTGCAAAGATACCTGCAAACTCTCAACTGGGCTTTGCTACCAGAGCTGAGCTGGCCATGTCAGGCTGCCCTGCCCAGCATCCTCTGTGGGAGCTGAAATGCCAGAATGAAGAGCTTTGGCCAGGGGGAAGCTCTTTCAGCCCTGCTGAGGCTCACTGACCTAAAAAGCAGGTGCCTCTTTGCTAAAAGAACTTGTGTGCTTCAAAGAAGCCTCTCCTCCCTCTCTGCCAGCCCAGCAGAGGCC